TCATATAACACATAGTAGTTACTTTGATATTCTTTATTTTATATTAAGAAGATACAGTGAGTGTCTGTAAAACTTTACATTCTTACTGGAAGGGGACAAAAACCTCATGTTACCTAAATTCTCAGCACCTACTCTTCCTCACCTATAAAACAAGGGAATTGGGCTAGTTTGTTTCTGAGTGCTGAAATTCTCTGTTTCTCCCATTTGAAGTTACTAATTTCTAACATTATTCAGCAGATGAAGTATAGGAAGCATCTTGTAATAGAAATTGATGTGTAAATCAGTATTGTACCAACTTCTCATAACTGAAGTAAAAGGCATAATTGTTCTATGTGCCTCTAAATTCTATGTACCTCTAAATGGATAGATACTCTTTTCAACTAGCTATGCTGGTTAGGTTTTATTCTGTATAATTTAAAGATTTGGGTGTGACATGTTTCTCTTTTAGTTCCAGTTAATATTATACAACATAAATTATCCTTCATGAATAAGTTTCATTGTAATGGATTCAAACAATACAGTAAGTGTAGATAGCAAAATGTGAGAATCCCTCTCGTAACTACTCCTCTTTCAAAGGAGATGACCACAATGAACAGTTTGGTATGCATCCTTGCTGTTTGCTTTCTGTGAATGAACATAAGAATATTAATTTATGCACATATTTTTTTCATAAACAAGATCATGCTTTATATATGCTGTTATTTAAAGTTTTTTCTCAACAGTGTGTTTGGGGATTATCATATATACCAGGATGTATGTATATAATTTTTTTAAATGGCTACATAGTATTATAGAGTATTATTGGAATTTATTTAACTGTTCACCTCTTGATGGACATCACTTTGTTTTCTTTATCGCTATTAAAAATAATGGTTCATGAACATCCTTGCATATACTTCCATTTGTGCAGATTCCTTTAGAATATACTTCCCATGTGAGATTGAACACACTGAAAATTTTGATAGCTACTGTCTTTCTAAGAGGCTTTATAAATTTACATTTCTACCAACAGAGAGTGAGAGTATTCATTTACCTTCACCATTGCCAAAATAATATTAGCATTTTAAAATTGCTTCCAATATGATAGTTTGAAAAATTATATTTTATTATTTTAAAGGTGCATTTATCTGATATCTGGGATGTTGAGGATCCTTTTATTTGTTCATTGGTCATTATTATTATTATTTTTTTAATCCTCATCCGAGGACATTTTTCCATTCTTTGTACAGACAGAGTGGGAGGGAGAGAGAGGAAGAGAGAGAGAGGGAAACATCTATGTGAAAGGGACACATCGAGTGGCTGCCACCCGCACGACCAACCAGGGCCGGGGACAAACTGCAACCGAGGTACATGCCCTTAGCGGGAACCGAACCCGGGTCTCTCCGGACCGCAGGCGGACGCTCCAACCGCTGAGCCAAACCGGCCAGGGCCATTGGTCATTATTTTTTAATGAATTGCTGTAATTTACCCATTTGTCTTATGGAATATCTTTTTCATATTGATGTGTAAGATTTTTTAAAATGTATTTTGCATGTGAACCCTTTATTTTAAATGTTACAGATTTGTTTTTTTCATTTTTTAATTTAAAATATTTATTTATTTAGTTAGTTATTTTAGAGAGAGAGGAAAGGAGGGGAGAGGTGGAAATATTGATGAGAGAGAACGTCAATTGACCACCTCCTGCATGTTCCACGTGGGATTTGGCCCAAACCTGGGCATGTGCCCTGACCTGGGATGGAACTGGTGACCTCTTGGTGCATGGGTTGACACTCAACCACTGAGCCACACTGGCTGGGCTTCCCTGTTTTTGTCATGTGATGTAGCTTATGGTATCTTGTGGAGTGGAGATACTTCATTTTGTGAGAATGCTAGGCATTCCCTTTATGACCTCTACTTTGTGTAGTTTTAGGAAGACTTTCCTCATATAGAGTTATTTAATATTTTTTCTAGTATTTTATAATATTGCTTTCTTAACTCCATTTGGAGTTGATTTAAATGGATAGTTATTGAACCCATTCCTATTTATTATATAGTACATTATTTTTTCACTGTCTGAAGCCACCTTTTACCTTAATTTAAATCTCTGTGTATATGCAGATTTATTTCTGGACACTCTTTTCTGTTCTTTTCATTATGTTTTTCTAATTCCTTCATCAATAGTGTACTTTTAATTGCACTTAGTTATGATTTCTTTTGGAATCTGAGAGGACAAGAGCATTTTACTTCATTTAATTTATTTTGCATAACTATTCTTGCTATTTTTATTTGTAGTTTTACTTTCTCTTTTCTCTGATTGCTGTTACTTCTTAGTGTTGTTGTAACCTTACCATCCCTCTTCTGATTTGTGGCTATTAAGTTATATGTGAACTAGAAAACTAGCTAACAGACGGCTGGTATTTTAGATAAAATAGTCTCTAAGTTGAGAAAATGAAGAATTCACCTGAGATTGATTTATGGATAGAATGTTCATACTTTGGTACTTAAAATATGTCACATATGTTTTAGTTTCTCAGAGGTTTATATTACAGTCAGCCCTCGTTTATCGCAGTTAATCAGTTCCAGACTCTACCGCGATAAATGAATTTCCCCGAAGTAGGATTCTTTATTTATATACAGTCGTCCCTCGCCACTTCGTGCTTCGGACCTTCGCGGCTTCACTCTATCGAGGTTTTTTCAAATACTATACTGTACTGTACTATACTGTACTATACTATACTATACTATACTAGAAAAAAACCGCGATAGAGTGAAGCCGCCAAAGTCTAAGCGCGAAGTGGTGAGGGAAGACTGTATTTTTATTTCTAGGGTTTAGTAATATTTTAAATAGTTGAAGTTGCTGAATATGCAGTATCTATATAAACATTAGTATATATTAAAGTTATTTTTAAAACAGAAGCTATATTTAAATTACTTTGCTAAACAACTTTATTTCTATCACATTAGGTTAATGAAAGTTGTCTGTTATTAGGGAAACAAGTAAATAACAATAGAGAATAAAAGATAAAGGAAAAAATGGTAGGTCATTAAGTAGAAGAAGGTATTACTCTTAGTTTAAATCAGCTAGAGATGCTATTATAAGAGCAGCATCCGTTACCATGGAGCATCTTTAACTGAAGGTCAGGTCTGTGCTTTGAAAAAATAATTTTTAGTAACCTTGGGCAGCTGTAGCCTTTATTGTACCTAAATTGCTGAGCTTACATGAGGAATGTAAAGTGGCATCTCTTTTTTACTGCAAAATCAATAGAATCCTGCATTATCTCTACAGTTCTATAGCATATGAAATAGAGAAATAGATGTATATAAATAAAAGTTAATGTTTTGTGTAGTACTAACTTTTTAACATTTGTGTTATTCACATTAACTGGATAGATTTGGCTTGCTTTTTAGAACTTCATTTTAAGTATTTTTTAAAAAAGTATCTCTGGTACACCTTGGCTGGTTTGGCTCAGCAGTTGGAGCGTCGGTCCACACACCAAAGAGTCTTGGGTTCAATTCTGGTCAAGGGCACATACATCGGTTGCAGTTTGGACCCCGGCACTGGTTGGGGTTGTGTGAGAAGCAACCAAATCGATGTCTCTCTAAAAGTATCTCTGGTGCTATGAATATACATATGTGTGTGTGTTGAGTATTACTCAGGGAAATACTATTTCTGTTATTCCTGGACAAGTGAATTATTTAAGGGTTTTTGGGATTGCACTAAGATTTGGGGTATTTGTTGAGGGGGGCAGGTGGGGAGCATAAAAGCACCTGTACTTTTTCTAGACATTTTAGGCTTAGAGTGCCCCAGAAATCCAGAAATAGGATGGTTCTATATTATGATAAGTATCTGAAGTCTAGTCAGACCTCACTTGGGCAAGAAACATACCCTTTTAGGCTTGGGGCTTCCTAAAGCTGCATATATTTGTACTTATGGGATTTAGTAAATCAATGTGCTGTATGTCTGAACTCACACAATGGATTCAGCCTGCAGACTTAGATTGATTGGTGCTCACAGTATTTTTAAAATATTTATATTTATGGCTTCTCCTGAAAATTTGGAGGATCTAACAATCTGGGTCCCATACACCACATGGCAGCAACTAACTAGATGGACATGTGCTCTCCATTTTGCCAGAATACATTCCACTCCTTATCCTAAAGGTGGCAGTTGCCATTTCTTACCACACTTGCACAGTCAACCACTTGCTCAGTTCATTTATGTTCCTAACCAGCATCTGAAGGTTTGGAATATCTAACTTATAACTATCGGTCTATATCTCGTTTTCTGTGTCTGGTGCAGCTACAGTAAAAATGAGTAGACAGCAATTTAATATTGTTAGAACAGTCAACTCATTTTTCCAGAAACATGGCATATTCGTGTCTTCATTGTCTCTTGCATCTTTTTTCCCCTGAAATATTTTATCTACTGTCTTGGAGAATCCTATCCATTTCAACTGCCAACACCTTGAATCTTCCTTGATCACCTCTGACTACAGTAGTGTATTCCTCTTCTAAAGTTTTAGAATACTTATTTTCTTCACCACTATAAATTGATTGTGGGAGAGGATTAGAGAGTCTCACTCAAATAAAAAAAATTGTGGGAAGAAACCTTTGATTAGTCTTTTATTTTTTTAAAATATATTTTTATTGATTTTTTTTTTTAAGAGAGAAAGGAAAGGAGGGAGAGAGAGAGAGAGACTGAAACATCGATGTGAGAGAGAAACATTGATCAGTTGCTTCCTGTACGCACCCCAGTTGGGGGCTGAACCTGAAACCTAGGCATGTGCCCTGACCAGGAATCGAACCAGCAACCTTTCCGTGCATGGGACAATGCTCAATCACTGAGCCACGCTGGCCAGGGCTAGTCTTTTGTTAATATGGTTCACAGTTCATTTTTTCAAAGAAATCCGTATATTGTTGTCATTTTGAAGATTTAGAAAGATAACCTTTCATTTTATTTACCTAGTTTTCCTAATCGGCGTTCAGACATTAAATTTGAATATTGTTTTCCTTGCTTTCAGTTACAGATGAGGACACAGTAAAGAGGTATTTTGCCAAGTTTGAAGAAAAATTTTTCCAAACCTGTGAAAAGGAACTTGCCAAAATCAACACATTTTATTCAGGTGAGTGTTTTTTTTTGTACAACATAAAAGAAGCCATTTCTGCTTCTAAGAATGGAAAAACTCTACCATGTCATTGTTTTAACTTATGGTCATTGTTTTAAAACTGGGCCTTGTTTCCCTCACTATACTGCACTTAGGGATATTTTCTTTAACTGAGGTGAGTACGCATCTGCTGTCTCAGGGTTTAAATCTTACATGGTTATTGCCTAGATGTTCTTGTAGTTGCAAGAATTTGGGAACTACTTTTTGTAGCAGTACCTTGATAGAGCTTCACTATAGCCCAGTCCAAAGCTTTAAAGAGTTAGAAATTTGATTGTATCATTTCTCTCAGAGCTGAATTACGTGCTTTCAGCTTTTTAATTATGACAGTTTTATGCCCCTCACCCCCATTGCGTTGTGGAATACTCGTATCTATCTAGAGCACAGTTTGCAGAGTGGCATCTATAAGATGCAGTTGAAGTTGAGAAGAAAATAATAGAATTTCTATTTATTTATAACTTACTCTTTTAAATTTTATCTATAATATATGTTTACTTCCCCCTTTTAACATCTGTTTTGCTGTCTCACAGAGCTTAAGTTTCTTGACTCCCTCATTGTATTCATTTCAGTTGATCAGACACCTCTCAGAAGTACTTCCTTCTCCATCAGTCATTTTAACCACTTCCTTGCTTGTTCTTTTAATCCCTTTACTCTTATTGCCTTGTAATGCTTCTGCCTATCAAAACTCTGTGACCGATGCAGCCATTTGCCTTCTTCATACATATCCCTGAGCTGCTTAGAACAGCTGGGAAAAAAATCACAGAGCAGAACAAATTTGAAGCACTATAAATTCATTGTTGTATTCTTAACTGTGTCCTCCAAGCTGCCTGTGTGTCCTAATCAATGCCCTTTTCTGTGCTCCAAAACGCTCATCTAAACCCTACCCCATTCTTTTGAGTTCTCTCACCCCACCATCTTCCCCATCATGCTTATTAACCTCCTACTTTACCAAAAATAAATAAATAAAAGCCTTCAATTCCTATTGGTGTATGATACTTACGTGGATCTATGCCACTCCCTCCAACCCCCAAATACCTATAGACATTCTTACTCTTATTCATTTCCCTCCAGTCATTGTAGAAAAGATCACTATTCAGTCCATGGCAAATCTCTACAATTACTTACTGAATTTCAGTTCCTTGAGACCTTGCTCCAGTAATTATCTCCTCTAAGAATTATTGAATAAATGTATTAACTTCTCTTTTTACTAGTTTAGTCTCCTTAACAAGTCACTCCCTTCAAACAAAAAATAAACAAAAAGGGAAGCAAATATCTTCACTCTGTGTCCTCCTCCTCATCTTTGATGGATGGCTGGACTTCTTCCTGGGCTGAGGGAACAGCTTATGCAAACACACAAAGCCATTAAAGGACATGACATATATACATGTCTTCCTCACTACATTATAAATAGCTAGAGACAAAATAGAAATATTATTTGAAACCATGAAAATGGATAAATTTTCAGCAAGGGGAAAATTTGTAGAAGGAATGACAGTTTTCAAGTACAAACATCATTTCCATAATCAGAAGGAAGAAGATACAAAGGAACTAGCAGTGTAGATAGCTGTGTAATGTAGACGGAGGAAGAGAAGATTAAAAGAGGAAGTCATTTGCAGTTGAAAGAGTGTTGAGACTGAGAAAAAGCCATTGGATATGATCTAAGGCTATAAATGAAAAACAAATGAGGTCAAGTTTAATAGCATCTTCTTTTACTATGATTTTTTTGGGGAGGATTTCTGAGCCCAATTCTAAATGGATAATTTAGATCACAAATAATAGACAATGCTTCTTATTCCACAAAGAAAAATAAATATCTACTCTTAACAATAGATACATACCTTTGATATTTTGAGTTACACATAGATATGTGTGTTTTGGGTATGTTCATATGCATCTATATGTGTGTATATGTAATATATTTAAATATTTTTTCATGAAACCATACTTACCCTTACTACTTGAAATTTATTGTTTTTTATATTTAACTATTTCTATTTGATTTGATTTTAAAAATCCTGACTTGTGATGCACTAAATTGCTTCTATGACTCCCATATTGTATTAATAACCCTTAGTTTGAAAAATGTATCTTAGACTTGATTACTTTTCAAGAACAATTTTAGGCTTTCTACTATTAAAAACTTGGGGGCTGTGATTTAATGACTTCCTTTTTCTGTGTGTATTGGCAGGGCCATCAGGGCATGTCTTTTGATGTCATCACAGAGTAGGTACAAATTCATAGTCTTCAGACTGACTTTTTGCCAGGTCAGGAAGTGATGGGTAATATGAAGACATGATTGACAGAAATAAAATTTGGCACTTGTCCTAGACAGTATCATTTTTCTCCTTATTTAGTTGCCTTTTTCATGGGAGATTGTCATGTAACTGCAATCCTCAGACACCAGGGCACATAAGAAGCTATAAATAATACAGAGGTGAGGTCAGCTTATACACCTATCTCCACCCACTTACATCTCACAAAAATATTTAATGGTCAATTAAAATGGTCATTTTTAAGTGAGATATAGTCTTGACTGAAGCCTTTAACACCCAAAACAAATACTATAAAAGCCAAATAAACAAAATATAGATTGAATACTACTAAAATGTGGATATTTATTTTCACACTGGTTCTGTTACCTACCCAATTACAGTTTGGATTTTTGAACCTTATTATTTTTTTAGAGGAAGTTTACCATTTAACATTCCTAGACATCCATATATACTTGCTTGTAAAATGAGCAAATTGATTCCCAGCCTTCTAGGGTTCCACATGTGAGGAGTCAGAAGCGATTTTCAAAATTTCAGAAAATCCTATGTAAGTTATTTTATAGCTCTTTATTATATATTTTTGGTCAATAAGATTTATTTAGATTTATAGATAAAGTCTTGTAATATTTGAAGACCCTGAGAGGAGAGGGTAAATTTTTAAAGGAATGGTCCTTTTTGGTGATGACATTACTAATCACTGACTTAGAAGTCTCCCAGGTTTCCTCTAACACTAAAAATGGCATCAATTGTGAAGGCTGTAGTTTTGTCCTTTTCCATTAGTAATACTGAAAACTTCATGTTACATCTTTTCTTTTCTTGAACCAGTTTGCTTTCTTCCTCCATTCAAAATACTTAGCTTCTCAGAAGAGTTTTTATGTTCCTACATAAAAACAACAACAAAACCCACAAAAAAACCCGTAAAAACAACTTAGAATATAGATCTGTTGCTTTTAATATTCTACAATTAAAACAGGCAAACTCTTTCTTTCTCTTGTCTGGAATGTTTTAAAGAGCTAAGAGCTTTTTCCTTTGTTTCTAGACAGTTTCAGGGTTTTTTTTGGCCTGTCCTAATTTTTTGGCTTCAGTTATTACGTGTTTTCCTTTTCTTTACGGAAAGGGAAGGAGGGAAGGAACAAGATTGCAGTAGTGTTATTTATAAGTAGGAAAATTATGGCAGTAGAAAGATTTAATTCTTGGCTGTTAATTATTTTCTTGCATTTTTTCTTTTTTTTTTTAAGAATTAAAATTTTTTATTTTACCTATTTATTTTTGTTACAGCTTTTCTTTTTGCCCCACTGATTTCCTCCTTCCCCCCTCCCCGCTCTGTCCCCAGCTTTGTTGTCCATGTCCATTGTTCATGCATATATGCATATTAAGTTCTGTGGTTTATCTCTCCCCCATCACCCCCTCTTCTGGGGATTGTCAGACTGTACCCCACTTCCACGTCTCTGGGACTACCCCATTCTTCAGACTGTTATGTTCATTATATTCCACAAATAAGTGAGATCATATGATATTTGTCTTTCTCTGTTTGGCTTGTTTCGCTTAGGATAATACTTTCCAGGTCCCTCCATGTTGTCTCAAAGGATAAGAGATCTTTCTTTCTTACAGCTGCGTAGTACTCCATTGTGTATATGTACCACAGCTTTTTTATCCATTCGTCTACTGATGGACATTTGGGCTGTTTCCAGATCTTAGCTATTGTAAATAGTGCTGCTACGAACATGGGGGTACATATATTTTTTCTGATTGCTGTTTCAGGCTTATTAGGGTATATTCCCAGAAGTGGGATCACTGGGTCAAATGGAAGTTCAATTTTTAATTTTTTGAGGTAACACCATATTGTTTTCCATAGTGGCTGCACCAGTCTGCATTCCTACCAGCAGTGTACTAGAGTCCCATTTTCTCCACACCCTCGCCTACACTTGCTGTTTGATGATTTTTTGATGGCGGCCACTCTGACAGGTGTGAGGTGATACCTCATTGTTGTTTTAATTTGCATCTCTCTGATGATTAGTGATGTTGAGCATTTCCTCATATGTCTCTTAGCCATTTGTATGTCCTGTTTGGAGAGGTGTCTATTTAGTTCCTCCGCCCATTTTTTAATTGGGTTCTTTGTCTTCCTTTTGTTGAGTTATATGAACACTCTCTATATATTGGAAATTAATTCCTTATCTGATATATCATTGGCAGTGATGCTCTCCCATACAGTGGGTTATCTTTCCATTTTGATGATTGTATCTTTTGTTGTGCAGAAGCTTTTGAGTTTGATGTAGTCCCATGTGTTCATTTTCTCCGTTGTTTCTGTTGCCTTAGGTAATGTATCAGTGAAAATTCTGCTGTGTATGATGTCTGAAATTTTGTTGCCTACAGTTTCATGTATGGATTTTTATGGATTCATGAGTCACATTTAAGTCTTTTATCCATTTTGAGTTTATTCTTATGTATGGTGTAAGTTGATGGTCTAGTTTCATTTTTTGCATGTAGCTGTCTAATTTTCCCAACACCATTTATTAAAGAGGCTGTCTTTACTCCACTGTATGCTCTTGCCACCTTTGTCAAATATTAATTAAGCATATTGCCCTTGGTCCATTTCTGGGTTCTCTGTTCTGTTCCACTGGTCTATATGCCTGTTCTTGTGCCAGGACCAGGCTGTTTTGATTACAGTGGCTTTTGTAGTATAACCTGAAA